CGAAGTATCCTACTGTTTTATTTATTTGCGTCGTTGATTCTAATGTGAAAGGCTTTTTCAGTCATGATTTTCAAATCGTGGGCTACAGACACTGCCTCAAGGTCATAGCTCAACAGTGTTATCGAATATAGGAAAGTATGGAGGGTTGCCTTGGAAAACCACGTGAAAACTGCATGGCCACCGTTTTTCCAATTCTCGATTTTATTTTGAACTGATAGGAGTAGTCCTTTGAGGGAAGTGTTCATATGGTTAGTCTCATGAGCCGTTATCTAATCAGACAGATCCAACCGAACGATCTCTGATACGTACAATAGGTTTCGAATGGATCAAATTATTCCCAAAAGGGATCAAGTTAGGACTGTGGGAGAACCGAAATTAGCGCTATATGTATTTTTTGAACGTTTTACTTTCATGAACGAGTGGTGTAATGGCAAGTGGAACTGCTTACCAAGCGCGGAGTCCGGGGTTTGAATCCTGTCGCGCATCGTCCGGGCCAACCAAGCTTTCCATCCCTTACTATACTTCCTTCTTACTTAACTACTTTTAGGGTTTAGCGTATCAATTTCATTTTTGACTTGTTTTTGTTTGTTAACTGCTGTTTTTGGCCGCAGTTCGCCTTGCGAATGTTTCACAAGAATGCTGGGTTGTGAACAAAACTTTCGCCCCAGGCGGGACTAGAACCCGCACCTCTCGCTTTCCGGGCAAGTGCGCTACCAGTTACGCTACCGGGGCACCATTTCATCCCAACTCAGCTTCATCTTTGTTAGCATATGATTAGCTAAGCCATCAATTTCTTTAACAGCTTGTGAGACCTTTTATGAACGCTCAGGCTTGAATGTGTTCGACTTGAGCTCACATTTCTCTCACGGTCACTAGTTATTTCAACTCAGACGACTCAGCAAGGTCGATCCTAATATTAGCTGCTGAAGTTGAAAAATTGCCATTTCGAGGTAAGCTGGGGCGAGGTCCTCATTGGGCAGAGGGTCTACACCTCTAATGAAGACTGTTGCACCTTCAACCTGTTCCTCCCATCTCCTCACATTTCTGCCGTTGTCTCGTTGTCCCAAGCAAAGGTCAATGATTCATAGCCATGTACTTTTGAACCTATCACGTGCAACTCATCGGTGATCGAATGTGGTCTTATTAGCATCGCCTTACAGCTTGATAAAAGTACTGCGTACACATCATCAAATCTGTTTTGCTGTGCTCCTGTGATGGACCGGCGCCAGCAAAGTCAACAACTCTGATTTGTGACGCTCAAGTGATAACACTTTGTAGGCCGCAACAAACCACAGCCAAGTTTTTCTATTTAGCTAATCAGAATTTTTCGAGACGTCTACTCAAAAGAGCATAATTAAATGGAAACGCGAAGATATTCTGCGAATTTCAGCGTTTTCCCGAGCGTTCCATACTCTGCTTTCAAAAACTAGATGCGCGTCGAGTGCAGAAAACACAACAGAAGTGACGACGGCCTCCAATTATAGCTGGGTGCTAGTGGTTCATAGTAGTTAGTGGTGGCTGATAATTAATGAATGATGTATATGATATATATGAAAATAATAAATGATCTATCGTAATCAGTGACAACTGTTGGAACGCAAGTGCAGCCGGGTGGTCATATCATTGGCAGGAAATTACATTTTTTGGATGCCGTCGTCACTTGTGGTGTGTGGTCTGCACTAGAGAAGCATCTGGTTCGGAAGCAGAGAATACGTTAGGTCCACCTTCATT